CCTACCCCGCCCCCCCCAAAAATGTAAAGAAACAAGAGTTAGAATTACAGTGTGCGAGCTGTTTTGCTATGCTAGTATACAGACTCTCTGGTATGGCTATGACGATGTAAAACAATTCTTTTTAAAAAAAGTGCCAGTCCATCTGATGGTTAACCGCAATTATCCGCTCTACTGTTCTACTTTATGACCTAACTGTGTTGCAAGTGCCAAGAAACTCTTACTAAAATTGAAATACTGCTCCACCGTAAGGCCCTCCTAACTGACTACCTGTATGTATAGTCTACCAGTGAGCTGAGTCAATTGTCAAAACAGGGTAAGGGTTAGGGTTTTAAAATCTTTAAAATGCGAACTATACATCTAACAGCCCAACGCTTTTATAAACGCAAAGAGACAGTCACGTGGAATAGTCACCAAACTGGTACGGTGGGTGGTTGACAGATGCTCTGGTGTGGTTTGCTCTTTCGCGTTCCTTTCAAACATCTATCACCCTTTTCTCTCCTTCTTTTCTTTGTATGTTACTCTCTAAATAACACCTTTAACATTCGGCACGTATATGACCAACATATTTGTGTTTCAAGTGCTGTTAAACTCTTAATAACACTAGATCTAATATGGCCCGGTGGCAGTTCGTCAAGTAGAACAGAAACATTGCGGTAGTCCTTCGTGTGAACTGGCTCTTAGATTTGATCAGTAACGTGTAGGCAGTTTTGGTATAACTATGACGGTGTGAAGAAATTATTTAACCCTATCCGCACGCCCCGGGATCATTTTGTACCCCGGGGTTGTATTCTTCACATTTTAGAATACCTCTAGTGCGAAGATCTCTTTGAAACTTTCAGTATTTCTCAAAGAGTCATTTTGACAGACTGCTATGCAAAGCGTACGGATCGGACTAACGAGTAAATCTCCTCTTTGAAAGTGGTGGCACAGAGTTCCCCACGTCGTATGGATATGATAGTAAAACACGACGTACGGATAGAGTTACTTCTATTATTATGACGTTTGAACGTTCTGGTATGGATATGACGGTGTGAAGAAATTGTTTAAATCTATTATTATGACGTTTGGACGTTCTGGGTATGACTATGACGGTGTGAAGAAACTACATTTATGACGTGTGGGCCTTCCTCAGGAAAAGATGTCTTGCTTGAGCCCGTGTCTGATGAACTGCCTGGCAAGGTTGTGCGAATGTTTCCAGTGAGCGAGCAGCAGAGACAAGATGTCGGCCTCTGTCACAGCACACGCAGCGCGGGAAAGAACAGACGACAAGGGGGCCAGGCCAGACACCGACAGGTTCACGTCCATACCTGTAGACACAGGATACTATGTGTAGCTTTCCACGATACATGAACAGAACTTGTACATGTTATCATGCACTTGGCAGCGAACAAAAACTTACCCCCCCAA